CTATTTGAAAGCGAATTGTAAACGTAAAAAATGCTTACAAACTATGGAGATACGAATACAAAGTAACACGCACTTGTTGGGAAATTAATATAGATAAACCTACTCTTAAAATGAATTATACTTTGAATTTATATGCAAGCGTTCCAACTCGCCCTCTTGTTCCAACTCACCCCACTGCCTGTTCCAACTTACCCCGCGGGTGGGGTGAGATGGAACGTTTTAGGAGGCAACTTTGAGCATTTATTACTCAAAAATAAAAAGACCTACTTGATGTTTTATTTCATAGATGAGTGCGGCATATAATTTTCCCCTATCAGATTTTTTATTTTTGTCCCCAAAGCTTTGACTGCTGAGATATCGCAAAAAAGGTGAAAACTGTTCCAACCAACCCCGCTCTCCCCTATACATACACATTTATGATGCCTGATGTAGTACTCGATGCCCAGCTGCTCCAGTTGTTTGAGGGGGTGGGGCACGAGGAAACATAGGAATAACTCCCGTAGTATCTACTATAGGACGAGGTACAGCAGTATTTACTGGTAGATGTCCCACAGCAGTACTTAGAACAGTGGAAGGAGCTTCTGTAACTGCCAGATGACGTGTAATATGCGCAGCAATATTCTCCTAAACATAAAAAGTTATAAGTCATGGAAGAGGTCAATGTCAGAACTTAAATTTTCACACCACACCGTTTCAATTAAGTAGCTAAAATGCACCAGTATATACACGTACAGTGACCAAATGAAAAATTTAATCGACTCTAATTACGCACCTGTTGTTGTGGTTGGACTTGTGACGGCCGGGCATAACGATCTATAGGAATAACTCGGATAGTATCTGTTCAAGAACGAGTCACAGCAGTATTTACTGGCAGATGTCCCGCAGCAGTACTTGGAACAGTAGAAAGAGCTTTTGTAACTGCCAGATGACGTGTAATATGCGCAGCAATATTCTCCTGAACCTACCGTACGGACTGTAAATACAAAGGTGAAAGATCATTGAAAAAATGAAGGTCAAAACTCAAATGGTCCCACCACAATGTTTTCAATTAATGGTAGATAAAATGTACCAGTATATAAATTGTACACTGACAAGGTGAAAAATTTATTCCACTCTAATTACATACGAACCTGTTGTTGTGGTTGGCCTGGTGGGGCATAACGAACTAGAAGAATAACTCGGGAAATATCTGTTCCACAAAGAGTCACAGCAGTATTTATTGGTAGATGTCCCGCAGCAGTACTCGGAACAGTAGAACGAACTTCTGTAACTGCCAGATGACGTGTAATATGCGCAGCAATATTCGCTCCCACTCACTGGGAAATTTAAAAAGATGGGCTAAAATAAGCATTAAGCTAAAAAAATAACCTGTACAAATTATTACTCCCAAAGTTATACTGTTTTATAACTTCTACGTGTACCAGTACCACGTTTTATATTTAATCAAGGAAACATCATCACATACATCATATACACTAAATCATTATTTTATCTACTCTTAATAATATATGTGCAAGATAAGGTGTTTAACGAATTTTTAGTAAAAGTATTGACACCATGCTAGGAAGCAGCCTCATATGGAACTCACTTCAATATCATTGACGTTTTCTTGCTTCATAAAACCAGTAAATCTTTACAGCTCAATTCGTTCTCAATTTCTACAGAACTGCTAGCTCATTGAGGTCGGTTGTTTGCCCGCGATGCCACATACGAGTTCTAAAAACGTAGGACTATAAGCAACCTTATTGAGGCTAAGCAAACATACCTGTTCATATACTTTTTAGATACAATGAGTTCTAGTATTCAATGGCTTACTAAGTTAATGAAAAATTCAATCCATCTTTGTGCCCGATTGAAGCTATCGCTACTACAAATTATACCCATAGGTCACAGATAAAATTTTCATCTACTGTGTTATATACGCCTACAAGTAGACTACACGTAACTCCTAAGCTTATAACTCAAAACTTGTGGCGTAGATTTTTTTAAGTCGGTGTAAGCTGAAACCTACATGAATCTACTCGAATCTATACTAACCCAAACAAACTTTCGGTCCCAAAGTGGCCAAGTCCTAAAAAGCTCAAGCCCGTGACCAGCAATTTCAAAGGGAGGGGGTCTTTATATGAAACAGTGGACCTTTTTTCATAAGATCAAAATTAACCCATAGCGGACCCTTTTCAAGCAAATAGTGCGGTAGGTTCGACTCCCCCCCACAAACACACTCACACAGCAACGCGACTGTAGCACGAAACTTTCCTTCACACGCGGCGAATTTATCTAACACGACAGATGTAATAGTAGGCCTCGAAGTCGAAAATCATCATGAAGAGCCACAAAAATAAATAAATAAATAAATAAATAAATAAAATTAAATAAATTACAAGAAGACGATGTAGACCCAGGGAGTTCGTTTTTTAGATTATTAAACTCGCTAGCCTAACTGACCATCTGAAGGCCTGAAAAGGTACGCCTGTAGTGAGATCATTTGCCCTTCTAAACTGGGTACACTTCCTGGTTCGTATGAGTCTGTATCTAAGACGCTAAGGGAGGATTTACATCTATAATTACAGACCCAATACAGATTATATTTGTTGTTGCCTTAACCTATTTATTTTAAAAACAGACTATAGGTGAACGCAGATGTGACCGACTCCATTAATTAATTGATGAGATATGAGTCACCGTCAACACATATTGCACAATCCAGGATGTATAGGCCCCTACTATTTTCTAAATGCAAGCAAGGTCATTATTTAATTAAAGTAGTTATAACAGCAAAATGTTATTTCATACTGAAGATCTAGAATTTAAGTTACATGTAGAAAGACCCTTTCCCCTCCCAGCTGTGTCCTTTCCTCCTAACCCCAGGGGAATGATTTATAGGCGTACCCCGCTACACACAAC